GTCAATTCCAACTCATAATGACCCTGTGTGTGCAGAATAGACTCATGATGGCCCGTGTGTGCAGAGTATAACTCATGCCCCGTGTGTGTACTGTAGAACTCATGATGCCCTGTGTGTGCAGAATAGAACTCATGACGGCCCCATGTGTGTACTGTAGAACTCATGATGCCCCGTGTGTGTACTGTAGAACTCATGACGGCCCCATGTGTGCAGAGTAGACCTCATGGTGACCTTGTGTGTGCAAAACAGAACTGCTCCACAGGCTTCTCTGGTTGGTGGTTGGTGGTTACATGCTATGGAGTCGGTTCCGTCTCATAGAGACCCTGTAAGGGTTTCTGAGGCTGCAAATCTTTACGGGAGCAGAAAGCCTCATCTTTTTCCCAAGGAAAGACTGGTAGTTTCGAACTGCTGACCCTGAGGTTAGCAGCCAGATTTGTAACCACTACGCTACCAGAGCTCCTTATAGGCTTCTCTAGGCGGTGCCTTTTCAGAAGTGGATCATCAGGCTTGTCTTCCGAGGTGCCTCTGCATGAATTTGAACCACTAACGTTTCAGCTAATAATCGAGGGCTTAAGTAATAGTCCTTTTTAGGGGACTAATTACCCCCCATTTTACTTAGAGGAATGTAAGATTTGCATGGCTTAGAATTCACCCAAGGTCACATAGAATGGAGATTTAGGCAAGTTTTGAACATGTTGAATTTCAGGCTTTTTTGGAGAACCAAATAGACATGGCAACTGGAGTTTAAGAGAGAAAGTAGAGATGAAGACAAGGATGTTTTAAGTTATTCAAAATTATGTAGAGGTGAAATCAAGAATCAGAGGCAGGAGGTCAGCACAGCTGTTGGTTTGTTCATGTGGTGTCTTTGGTGTACCATCACTGGAGATGTGCAGAGAGGCAGTCCCCAATGAGGCGTGTGTGTGAGCGCGCGTGTGTGCACAGTGGGGTAACCAAGGCTGGTGTTATCCAGTATGATGACTTATGGTGTCATCTCCCCACACGGACCCCCTCCCATATACTTAGTAATGTTTATCGCCGATTTTAATCACAGAATAATATGTTATATAGCTATAAATTATAGATACTATCTCTTGTTGTTAAGTGCCGTCGAGTTGGTTCTGATCCATAGCGACTCTGTTTAGGGTTTCCGAGAAGGATCTTGTGAGTTTGAACCACTGACCTTTAAGTGCAAACCGACTTTTTGCAGTACAGAGCATTAATCCACAGCGCCACACCAGGACTCTTAGGTCAGATGAATAAAAACAGCGTAATTGTTTTGTAAAATCATTCCACATTGAATTGCAACTTTCTAGTAACTGAGCTCTGGTAGTAGTGTAGTGGTTACGAATCGGGCTGCGAGCCTGAAGGTCAGCAGTTCGAAACTATCAGGTGTTCCATGGGAGAAAGATGAGGCTTTCTGCTCCCGTAAAGAATTACAGCCTCGTAGCCTCGGAAACCCTGTTCTGGGTCGCTATGAGTTGGAACCGACTCCACGGCACACAACCACCAGTAACTGAGCAGAAGCTTGTTTTGATCTTTCCCTTTGTAGAATTACGTCTTCATTCCTAAAAAAAATTACAGATACAGCTTCACAAATACTATTCAACACCATATTGTAGCTAAAACACCAGGAAAGTGATAAAATCCAAGACCATAGAAACACCAGCAGCAGTAGGGTGCTCAGAGCGTTGGCAACGCAAACCACGTGATTCAAAGTATCGCTGTAATTGGTTAACAATGACAGCTCCCACCAGAGCGCATTAGACGGTTCAAACCGTAAATGAACATAAAGTTTTAGCCTCCTAGGAAGATTGATACAGGCAAGCTGGGTTTACAAAAAATCTTTTTGTTGTTGTAGCTAGCTGCAGGGGTATTTTTATTTATAGAAACAATTCGTTTCCGTGAAACACAGTAATTTTATAGATGGTCATTTTGCGTCACCCCTGTGACAGTGTCACTCATGTGGTCCACACCCCCCTGTGACCCCTTAGCTACATCACTGTGTGTGGAGTGAGGAGAAGAGAGTTTGGGAACAAAAGTAACGTTGAGAAAAAGAAGAAAAGAGACTGAGAAGAGCTGAGAGAGGAAAATGTGGAGGAAGGGTGCTGTAAAAGCCAAGGAAGGGAGCTTTAGGGTTCTTTCTGTGAGGATGAAGAGAAAGATGAGGTTGAAAGCATCTGTAGGATTCAGGTGGTAGAATGTTCTTGGTGAGTGTAGTCAGATTACAGGGTGTAGGAAGAAGGTGGAGGGAAGGAAGGTTAGAGAGAGAGTGGCAGCTATTGAAGCAGTTAACGCTATTGTTGTTGTTAACTGCACTGGCCCCCACCCCTGACGCATGATGACCCTATGCACAGTAGGACCGGACTATTGTGATAAATAGGGTTTTCAAGGGCTGATATTTGGCAACACATTGCCAGGTCTTTCTTCCTAGTGTGTCTTGGTCAGCAGTAGAGCAACACAGAAGCCCCTACTGACAGGCGGGTAATGGCTGTGTCTGAGGTGTATTGTCCAGGAGTTGAACCCGGGTCTCCACGTGGAAGGTAATCATTCTGTCACTGAGCCATCATTACTGCTACATAAGGGTAAGGGAGATTTTTTTTTTCCTTTAATATTATGGAGAGATGAGCGTTAGTATATTTCTGGGGCATACAGCTGGTTTAGAAGCAAAGGTTAAGGATAAAGTAAAGAGTAGAAGTGCCAAGGAGCAGGGAAGGATGAAGGTAGAGTCCAAGTGGAGAGATTTGCCCTGAGCAGGAAGAGAGTGAGGTTTGGGGGAGACAGAGACCCACATGTCACCAATGGCCAGTCAGATACTACCTAGCTGACCTTTTCTGAGAGTCAGGCTGGTCAGTGTGTGCCTGTCCTAGCCACATTTCCCATACGATCATGATAACGTCTGTTCATTGCTGTCAAATTACTTCTGACTCATATGTTGTTGTAGTTGTTAGTGTCACCAAGTCGGTTGCAACCCTCTATAGGGTTTCCAAGGAGCGGCTGGTGAGCTTGAACTACTGACCTTGTGGTTCAATTAGACTTTGCAATCCAGCGCATTAATCCGCAGTGCCACCCCAGGGTGCGTACTCATATAGCAATGCTGTATTGGGTTTCTGAGCCTTTTAACTCTTTGCAGGACAGTTAAAAGCCCCTGGAGTAGCTGGTGGGCTCGAACCACCAATCTTATGGTTCTCAGTTCAGTATTTATCCTACAGAGCTACAGCACCCTACCTTGATCTTGATAGGTTCTGGCATTCATTTGGTTTTTCATTCATTCACTCACTCACTCATTTAATCATTTGACAATCTTTACTGAGCACATCTTCCTCCTCAGCACTAAGATTACATGAAACAATAAAAACCTATCCTTGAGGAATGAATTCTAAATTAGATTAACGTGCTCCTGACTGATAATAGCTGAATAATGTATTCCCTTATGAACGTAACTTTGAATCAATAAAGCTTTCAGAGAATCCCAGACAATCGAAACATAAAAAAGTTACACATGATTATCGTGGAGAATTTAGAAAAGACAGAACGCAGAAGAAAATGAAAAATTTTCACTACCCTCTTAATGGAGTCTTGGTTGTTGTTAGTGTCGCCAAGTCGGTTGCGACCCTGTAGCTAAGCACTGGAATGCTAAATCGAAAGATCAGCAGTTCAAAACCACCAGCTACTTCTCAGAAACCCTGTGTAGAGTGGCAGTGAGTCTGAACTGACTCAACAGCACTTAATAATAATAACATCCTATTATCTTCTTGGTTGCCAGGAGGTGAAACTGAGTAAGTGCTAAGGTAGCCAGCCAGTATGCAGTACTAACTTTCTCATGAGCAAGAAATGCTCTTCTTGGGCTTGTGGGAAGCTCAGAGGAGGGGCAATGGGCATAAATCACTCAGCTCCCACCTCAGTTGCCACAGATGTGAAAGGACAACATGAAGCAGATTTTAAAGGGAAGTATTTTCCAGGTTGCTTCCAGAGTTCTGCACAAGAGCAGTCACTGGTGGTAGTGGAATCGGTTCCAACTCACAGCCACCCTGCGTAAGGTTTCTGTAAATCTTTATGGGAGCAGAGAGCCTCATCTTTCTCCCGCGGAAAGGCTGGTGGTTTTGAACTGCTGACTTTAAGGTTAGCAGTCCGACTCATAAATACTACACTACAAGAGCTCTTTACAACGGTCACTGTTGTTGTTGTTATGTGCCGTGGAGTCAGTTCTGACTCATAGCAACCCTGTACAGGGTTTCCGAGGCTGTAAATCTTTACGGGGGCAGAAAGCCTCATCTTTCTCCTGCGGAGCAGCTGGTAGTTTTGAACTGCTGGCCCGTGAGATTCGCAGCCCGATTCATAACCACTACGCTAGCAGAGCTCTGTCTAGGTCCTTGGAAATCATCCTAGGGTCAGCTGCTTATATCTGCAGGGACTTTTCTGGCTGAAATCAAGCCTGCTCTCACACTACCTCCCGTTCAGGTTTGATGTACTGTGAGGAAGCAGGAAAGGTAACGTTTTCCAAACAGAGCAACTAAGTGACAGGTCATAGCCCTAACAATGGAGACCAAGGACACTGAACTTCAGTGTCCGTGACACAGTCCTACCCAGAACCCTGGGAACAATACAGACCCGAACCAGCTCCAGCCGCACTGTGGACAGCTTCACGTGAAATGGTAACGCATAGTAACCAGGTCTCTGAACTTACCCCAAATACTCTGTTTTTGATCCTGTATTTTTTATCTCACTTCACGGTGACAAATTCCCACAGATTGGACAGGAAAGCACCAAAAAGTCTTTGAAAAATAATTCTGCCCAAGTCTACGCCATCAAGAACAACGTTTCCTCCAGTGCACAGCAAAGATTTCTTTATGGAAGGGAAAAGAGGGATCATACTGGAGCCACCAACAAAGCTTTTGGTGAACAGGAATGTCGCAGACCAAGATGAGGTTCTGAGAAGTCTGTGAGAAGTTTGACTCCCTTCTCACTAAGTGGATGTGGTGGAAAGCTCTGCCAACACATACCTGCAGGCCGAGAAGGTTGTAACCCGAGCAGAAAGCAGACAAAGGCGAGTCTCCGGAAATGGGAAGCCATGATGACTGACATTCCAGCGGTGCTAGTCTCTGTCTGTTGACATTCCAGATGGAAACAGGTTGGCCAAAGTTCTCAGTCTGAGAGAGGAAGGGAAGGAGTGGGGGAAGGGAAGGGATGAAGAAATCACCCTATAAACACCCAGAGTTAAAAAGCTACATTTGACCATTTTACTTTTAGTTTGTCTTAGTTTGCTAGGACTCCCTTAACAAAATACCACCATTGGGTGGCTTTAAACAACAGAAATGCCATCTAGCAGTTATGGAATCTAGGAGTCTGACCTCAACGTCTCAGCAGGACTGGGCTCTAAACTCTTATCTGCTTGAGGGGAAAACCCTGGTCATTGGAACTGCAAGGTCAGCAGTTCAAGCTCCCCAGCTGCTCCTCAGAAACCCTATGCAGGGTCGCTATGGGATGGAATGACTCGATGGCACTTAACAACAACAACAACAACAATCAAAAGACAGGATCATGATGTGGTGGTTCAAGCCCACCGGACAATCCTTGGAAACCCTCTACAGGGTTGCTATGAGTCTTGACTGACTTGATGATGCTTGACAACAACAACCGCCCACAGAGACAGGATTTAAAGTTATATCTTTATATGGTGTCTACAGTCTCCTGGAAATCCTGGTGTGGTGCTATAGAATCCGCACTGCACTGTGAACCACAAGGTTGGCAGTTCAAACCCACCAGATGCTTCTTGGAAATCCTTTACAAGGTCGCTATGAGTCAGAATCAACTCACTGGCATTTAACAACATGTTCCCCTGTTTTTTATCTAGTCTGTCTTTTTATAAGCTCGCATTTACACGCAGGATCACGTCACAGGGGTTAAGACTTCAGTATAACTTTCAGGGAACACAAAGCAGTCTATGGTTGTTAAGTGCTATTGGTTTTGTTCAGACTCATAGCATCTCTGTATAGGGTTTCCGCCACCACTTGTCTGTCAGATTGTCATACTGTGGTGGCTTGTGTGTTCCTGTGATTCTGGAAGCAATGGCACTGGTATTTTAAACAACAGCAGGGTCACCCATGGTGGACAGGTGTTAGTTGTGCTCCCAGATGGAGACAGACTAGGAAGAAGGAGAGACGAGCTACTTTTGAATGTTTAGTCATGGAAACCTTATGAATAGCAGTATAACACTGTTGGATGGCATCAGGATATTGCATATTGAAACATGATGAAGAGCACTAGAATGTTGTCAGATAGAGTGCCAGAAGATGAGCCCATCAGGTCGGAAGGCACTAAAATATGACTGGGGAAGAGCTGCCTCCTCAAAGTAGAGTTGACCATACTGACACGAATGGAGTAATGCCTTGGGGACCTTTATTTGCTGATGGGGCACAACCCAAAATGAGGATCAACAGCTGTAAATATCCATTAATAACCACTATTTGGTCAACATGGAATATATGAAGTATGAATGTAGGAAAATTGGAAATTGTCAAAAATGAAATGGAACGTATTAACATTGATATCCTAGGTATTAGTGAGCTGAAATGGACTGGTATTGACTATTTTGAATCTGACAATCACATGGTTTACTATGTCAGGAATGACAAATTAAAGAGGAATGGCATTTCATTCATCATCAAAGAGAACATTTCAAGATCTGTCTTGAAGTACAATGCTGTCTCTGATAGGATAATATCCATACACCTCCATGCAAGACTACAATTATTACTCAAATTTATGCATCAACCACTAAAGCCAGTGATGATAAAATTGAAGAATTCTACCAACTTCTTCAGTCTGAAATTGATCAAACATGCAATCAAGATGTATTGATAATTACTGGTGATTGGAATGCAAAGGTTGGAAACAGGAAGGATCAGTGGTTGGAAAATATGTCCTTGATGATACAAACGATGCTGGAGATCACATGATAGAATTTTGCAAAACCAATGATTTCTTCATTGCAAATACCTTTTTTAAACAACATAAAAGATGGTTATACACATGGACTTCACCAGATGAATACAAGAAATCAAATTGACTACATCTGTGGAGAGAGACAGTGGAAAAGCTCCGTATCATCAGCCAAAACAAGGGCAAGGACTGACTATGGAACAGACCAACAATTGTTCATATGCAAATTCAGGCTGAAGATGAAGAAAATGAAAGAAAATTAAAACAAGTGCACAAAAACAAAAATATGACCTTAAACCTATCTCACCTGAATTTAGAGATCATCTGAAGAACAGACTTGATGCCTTAGACACTAAAGACCGAAGACCAGAAGAGTTGTGGGATGACATCAAGAATACCATACAGTAAGAAAGCAAAAGGTTATTAAGAATACAAGAAAGAAGGAAAAGACTAAAATGGATATCAGAAGAGATTCTGAAACTTGTTCTCCAGCATAAAGATGCTAAAGCAGATGGAAGAAATGAGGAGGGAGCTGAATAGAAAATTTCAAAGGATACCCCAAGAAGACAGAGTCAAATATTATAATGAAATGTGCAAAGATCTGGAGTTAGAAAACCAAATGGAAGAACACGCTCAGCATTTCTTAAACTGAGGGAATTGAAGAAAAGATTCAAGCCTCCACTTGGAATATTGAAGGATTCTATGGGCAGCATCAAAAGTTGGAAGGAATATACAGAGTCACTGTGCCAAAAAGAAATGGTTGATGTTCAACCATTTCAAGAGGTAACATATGATCAAGAGCCACTGATCCTGAAGGAAGAAGTTCAAGGTGCATTGAAGATGCTGGCTTAGAACAAGTCACTAGGAGTTGATGGGATACACATTGAAAAATTTCAACAAACTGAGGTGTCACTGGAGGCATTCACTCAGCTATACCAAGAAATTTGGAAGACAACTATTTGGTCAACTGATTGGACAAGATCCATATTTTTGCCCATTCCAGAGAGGTGATGCAAAGAAATGAGGAAATCATCAGACAATATGATTAATATTGCATGCAAGTAAAATTTTGCTAAAGATCATTCAAAAACAGCTGCAACCATAAATTGACAGAGAACTTCCAGAGGTTCCAGCTGGATTCAGATGAAGACTTGGAACGAGGGATATCATTGCTGACATTAGATGGATCTTGACCCAAACAGAGAATACCAGAAAGATGTTTCCTGTGCTATATTGACTACACAAAGGCTTTAGATTGTGTGGATCCTGACAAGTTCTGGACAACATTGCAGAGAACAAGTATTCTGGAACACTTAATTGTACTCCTGAGGAACCTGTACATAGACCAAGAGGCAAATGTTCCAACAGAACAAGGGAACACTGAATGGTTAAAAGTCAGGAATTGTGTGTGCTGGGGTATTCTTTTACCATACTTATTCAACTTGTATGCAGAGCAATTAATACGAGAAGCTGGATTATGTGAAGAAGCATGTGGCATCAGGATTGAAGGAAGACTCATTAACATGTGATATGCAGGTGGTACAACATTGCTTGTTGAAAGCAAAGAGGCCTCAAAATACTGATGACGATCATAGACCACAACCTTTAATATGGGTTGCACCTCAATGTAAAGGAAATAAAAATCCTCACCACTGTACCGATAAATAACATCAAGATAAATGAAGAAAAGATTGAAGTTGTGAAAGACTTTGTTTTGCTGTGATCAACTATCAACACTTATGGAAGCAGCAGTCAAGAAATCAAACAATGTATTGCATTAGGCAACTCTCCTGCACAAGACCTCTTTAAAGTGTTGAAGAGCAAAGATGTCAGTTTGAGGACTAAGGTGTGCCTGACTCAAGCCATGGTATTTTTAATAACCTCATATGCGTGTGAAAGCTGGACAGTGAATAAGGAAGGCTGTATTTATGCATTTGAGCCACGATGTTGGGAGGAGAACATTAAAAGTACCATGGATGGCCACAAGAACCGTGTTGAAGGAAGTACAACCAGAATGCTCTTTGGAAACCAGGATGGCCAGACTTTCTTTCTTATATTTTGGACATATTATCAGGAGGGACCAGTACCTGGAGAAGAACATCATGCTTGGTAAAGTGGAAGGATGGAGCAAAGAGGAAGACCTCTTATGAGATGGATGGGCACAATGGCAGTAGTAATGGGCTCAAGCATAGCACTGGTTGTGAGGTTGCTGCAGGACTGGCCATTGTTTCATTCTGTCGTGTATTGGGTCGCTGGGAGTCAGGACAGTCTCCATGGCATCTAACAACAACGTAGGGTGTCAGAAGCTTTTAATCTTTACAGGAGCAGAAAGCTTCATCTTTTCCCCAAGGAGCGTCTGGTAGACTCAGACCACTGACCTTGTGGATCGCAGTCCAGTACTTATCCTATGAAGCAACAATCCTCCCCCAATGTAGTCAGTAACATAGCTATTTATAAAATCCTGATGCCAATAAACTGTGCTAAAAGGAGGAGATGAAAAGGACCAGGTCCCTGACCGGTAGCAAAATCCTTCTCTTGTGAAACTAGACATTTAATCTGGTTTTCCTCTCGTAAAAGGATATCTTGTTCTGGAATTTATATATTCAGATGTGTATGTATCTTCAGCATACACTTTGAATGCAATTTAGAATTCTGAAGTACTTAGGACGATGTAAGATGGTATGCTGGAAACACAGGCGTAAACTACTGATGAAAAATAGTACCTTGTAGGAGTTACAGTAATAATAAGAGTATATTTCAGATGTGAATGTAAATATTTTAAAGAAAGCCATAGAGGAGACTTCTATGTCTTTGAAAGGTGGTAAATGGAATGTTTGTTTTCTTAGGCAAAGACACAAAACAAAACAAAACTATATCCAGAAACACCAGAAAGAGGGATTCTCTTTCTCTTAGAGCTGAGGTTCATCTCACTCCATTTTTATGGTAGAAATAAGATTCACTGGTGCCTCAATTGGTCCAAGGTCTTATTTCTCCACTACTTTTCCAAACCTTGGCTAGAAGCTAGGGAAATCAGTGGGACTAGTTTGCCCATACTGAGGTGTTTCTCTTGATGTGGAACTTTCAGTGTTAAACTTGGGACAGTCCTGGGAAATTGGGATGTTTTGTCACTC